CAATCATCACACCGACGCAAATCAGCGCTTTAGTAAGGGTACCTACAGGAACCTGAACGCATGCGGAGTTCATTTTTTATAGCAGTTTAATTTCGGTAGTATTTTTTTTTTATTTTCTAGAGGCACTTTAATTGACTGAGATGAGTCCTTAAAGACCAATAGCTTAATTCTCGGAGACCCACTTCACCCCCGGCGTCGTGGTCCCTGATGCAAACTATTTAATCACCACGCTTTCTGAGCTGAACATGAAAAAGGACACATTTATTCAGTGAGCCCTTTTTTTTTTTTTCTTTTTTTTTTCAGCAGGATGTGTAGAAGAATTATACTGGACCTTATTCTATTTAGCATGATAAAAATCTAAGGCTCAAAGTTTGCGAGGCTGCGCTAACAGGCGAATTTTTGTTTACATTTTTTCCCTCTTTAAAACATACTCCACTTATTTTGTAAGAGTTACAAATCAGTGTACAAAGTTGGTATAAGCTAACAAACTATTTTGATGGCTGATATTTCATTTAAGTAATACGTAAAGGTTAGGCAATACTTAAAGGTTACGCCTTTATTTAAAGAGGGTAAACACGTGACGGTTATGATAACACTGATAAACTTGTGGCCATCTATAAATTAAAAAATAAAATCAAATATTACAATAATGTTATGTTACTGTACAAAAGATAAAAATTAACATTAATAGACACAATTAAAAACAAGAACGCTCTTAGTAGCGTTGAGTCTCGGTTGCTTGGAGATGAGTTTTGCATATGAAATTCCTTGTTAACATAAGGTCTCTCATATTTCCAGAGGTCACGCCCACAGTAGATCTCGGTCAAAATATTCGTAAAAATTGTAGTTTTTCCTTTCATTATCTTTTCGTTTGAAGATTCATGACAAGTTACCTCCGGAATTCAAAAATTACACGTTTAACACATATCTTTTCCTTTGGTTTGTTGTCGATTGCTGAAAAAAATTCACGGACTTTGGCGATTACTTTTGGCAAGTTGAGTGTTTTTTAGAAGGCCAAAGAGGGGTAACATAGCTTCCTAGTGCATACTGGGATCGCTTAGCTACCTCCAGATTTAAAGAATGTATAATATTCCGCTTGTTTCGGTACCAATTTCATCAATATTGACCAAGATTTTTCCACGGACCCACGGCCCTGAAGTTTTAATTGGTAGCGTGTTTGCTGCTGTTGGTTCTGTCTTTAATACCGGGCAGCAAAGCAATTGGCAATGCGGATGGTACGGGAACTAACGGCTCCTTCATTCCGACACGAAATAAACAAGTAAGTGTTCCTATTAATATTATCGTACTTTTGTGAACCTTTTATTTCCGTTTGAAGGGTTGGCTCAGGTACTGAGGCCTAGGATGTGAATTGATACAAAGGTACTATACCAGCCGTGAAAATATTGTTAGGTTAATTTGAGTCAAAAATTTCGTATAATATTAACTTGTCGGGGTCTGCATTTTATTTCTTTCAGCTTTCTCATTTATACATTATGGCAAGGAGAATAAAAACGCAGAAATCGGTTACGAGTGCGCCACAGCCGCTGTCGTGAAATAAATTTTTGAAGAATCTGGTGTTAGCGATGTTGTTGTTAACAGACGTATTCTTAACGTCTTCAAAAAGATTTCGGTACTGCAAACGACTCATAGACGTGCGAGCAAAGGCAGGAAGAAAATCACTGGCAAAGTTGTTGAATGGATGGAAAACCGGACCGAAATATCAATTCGAAATTTACTATAATAAAATTGAGGTGCAGAAGGTGAAGACACAGTGTGAAATCCTTCGAGATTAAATAAGGAACCATAGTCACGCCACTCATCTCTATCTTCGCTAAAACCTTTGTAGTGAGTTTTGATCCTTTTCTTCTCTTTATCGACCTCGCGAATTTCAGTTTAATACAGTTGCTTGTCCTTTCTCATTTTATTTTTGTTCTTAGCTTTAAACACTGGTAAATACTCGTCAACCTCGCTCCGCCATGTCATTAGATCCTTCATGTATGATCACTAAATATCAAATGTTCATCGATGTATGACAAGAGTTTTATATGGTCAAAGGCCCCGGTGCTGTTATACTACTTTTTCGTTTGGAATACAAAACGAGTGTTGTATGTCATAATGTATATACTCAAAAAGTAAAAATTGCAAGGAGAGACAGGCCGCACATCTTAGCCTCAAACCGAAGTGAAATCTTTAAAAACCTACTACATATTGATATTGCTCCATTGAGGAGTACTCTTTCGGGGATTTTACACTCGAAAAATTGAACGATGATTTTTATCGGTATCAGGGGCCCATGACTCTGTCAGTATAAATATACATAGCTTCTTTGTACCGGACCCAGATACGGCTCGGTACAGTATATAGTTCAGCACAGGAAAAAAGTGTAAGTTTAACAGAACCTTGTACAACACACAGTTAATTCAGTTCGCGCGTATTCCTGCTGAATTTGTTGTCCGTTTTATAAGATATCAATATCGCATGAAAGTAATGACATTTAATTTACCATAACTGCTTAGTATCTACTTTTAATATATCCGTACAGTCTCAGTGTACAATGTTTAGAGTAGTACACAGCAAGCATTTTACATAGATAGATAGATAGATAGATAGATAGATAGATAGATAGATAGATAGATAGATAGATTGATTGATTGATTGATTGATTGATTGATTGATTGATTCACTTTTATTTGAATACGGTGATTTCATAAGTTACATAACTTCTTTACATGAAAGCCGTATAGAAACAGAAGTAAATACTGTACAACTACTCTAAAAATATGTACAAATAATAAAATATAGTAAAATGTAGTCAACAGTTTGCCTGCCTACTAGCCAGTTTTTCTTTTAAAGATAGCTTTAGATTCGGACGCTTTTATGTCATTTGGTAATGAATTCCACAGCATTCCTCCTCTGTATGAGAAAGACCCCTTATAATATTCTGTTTTTGGAACGTGGTCCAGTACAACATTATATTCCGCATTTCTTAGCATAGACTTATAAGGGTTGTTCTCACAGACATTCGAGAAAAGATCGCTTAAGTAACTAGGTATATTTCCATTCACTGTATCATACATTAATAGACTTAAGTGCCTTTGACGCCTCGAGGCAAGCTCTTCCCAGTTTAGTTGTTTTCGTATTTGTGCTGAACGAACGTCATAACCTTGAAAGGTTATTATGCGTGCAGCACGATTTTGTAATTTCTGGATCCTAGTGGCAAGTCCCTGGTCTAAATTGTCCCAAACAACGTCGCAGTAGTCGAACACAGGCTGGATAAGAGATTTGTAAATAGTATTTAGAACATCTAATGGTACATAATCACGTGCCTGTTTTAGACCACTGATGGATCGATTGACTTTTGAACAAAGTTTGTCAACATGCTCGTTCCATTTAAGATTTTCATCTAAGTGAATTCCTAAATATTTTGTTGTTTGGACTCGTTTAACATGATTGTTGCCAATCTTAATTGGAAAGTCTCTTCCTAAGTTAGATAATTTGAAGGTAGTTGTTAAGAACATATACTCCGTTTTAGTGACATTTAAGCTTAACTTATTTGCAAGAAGCCAGTCCCTAACGCGAGTTAGGTCATTATTTACCTTGGCATATAGTTCAGCAGTGGATACAGAGGACGCATATATCGTGGTATCATCGGCATACATGTGTGCTTTGGTATGGAGAAGACATCCAGGGAGATCATTGATATAAATTAAAAACAACAAAGGGCCTAAAATTGAACCCTGTGGAACACCACAACTTATCAACTGGGGCTTAGATACACAGCCCTCTACTACACACTGCTGTTGCCTATTTGATAGGTACGATGAAAACCAGTCGAGCGTTACACCCTTCAGACCATAGAGCTCAAGCTTTTTTAATAAAATATTATGTGAAACGGTGTCAAAGGCTTTGGCAAGATCGAGAAGCACAATCAAATTGGTCATGCCTTTGTCAATGTTAAGATACCAATTATTTGTTAAATGTAACAGCGCTGTCACTGTAGAGTGAAGGGAACGAAATCCAGACTGGTTTTTTGTCAACAGGCCATTTGAATTTAAGTACCCGTATAGTTGATCGTAGACTACCCTTTCACAAATCTTAGAAATGGCTGGCAAGACAGATATTGGTCTATAGTTTTGTGCATCTGTGCGATCATCCTTTTTATACAAAGGAAATACTTTAGCCATTTTCCACTGTGAAGGAAAGAGGCCAGTATCTATGGTTTTGTTTATGATACAGGTTAAAGAAGTGGCAATAATTGGGCCAGCTTCTTTTAGAAGCCGACATGAGATGTTATCAAGGCCAGTGGCCTTGTTCGGAGATAATTTACCTAATAACTTTAAAACTTCAGTGGCAGAGGTATGTTGTAAATTAAAAGTCGTGGAAACAGGCTTTATGTAAGAGTCAAAACTTGTATTTCCACTAGGCAGTGTGGAGGCTAGGTTTGGACCGACAGATGTAAAATGGTCATTTAAAATCTCACACATTTCTGCGGGTTTTGTGAAGGAATTATCACCACTTTTTAGTTCACTTATTGAAGAGTTACTAGTGCACTTACGATATGTTAATTCATTGATTGTCCTCCATATTTCCTTCGGGTTACCCACATTTTGTTCCACTTCTGATTTATAATAATTCGCTTTTGCCATTTTAATCTCATTATTTATTCTATTTCTTTCTTTTCTATATTTATCCCAGATAGATGGCTGTTTTGTTAATATAGCCTGCCTTTTCAGTCTGTTTCGACCTGTTATCAGCTCCCTCAGATCAGTAGTAATCCAAGGGGATTTTTTATTTCTTACTCGCCGCGTTCTTATGGGCGCATGAGCGTCAGCTATTTTTAAAAACATATTTTCCCAGATTTCAACCATTTCATCGGGAGTAGTGCAATTTCTTAGGCTATCCCAGGGCGCTGACTTTAGGTCTTCTCTGAAAGCACTTGCATTAAAGTTTTTAAAAGAACGAGTGGTCACATGCTTATGAGTGTTTTTAGATGAAATGGC